GTAGCTGGGAGCCTGGGGAATGGGGGAATGGGTAGCCCCTACAGCACCAGGGAAGGCGGAGGGGGGGGATAATGAGTTCTGCTTTCAACATATTGAGGTTAAGATGTCTGCGGGACATCTAGCTCAAGATGTGTGAAAGATGACTGGTGATGTGAGATCACAGGTCAGCAGAGTGGTTAGAGCTGCTGAGTAGATCTGGGGATCACATGCATAGAAAGCATGAGATCCCCAACTGAAGCGGGACAGAGGGAGGAGAGGGCCCCAGACTGAGCCCTGTGTGCTTGGGGGTGGGATCTGGGGAGGAGCCAGCGAAAGAGACAGAGAGGGAGGAGAACAGCCAGGAGAGATAAGCGCGTCTTGAGAACCTAGAGAGAAGAGTGGTCCACAGGGTCCAAGGCGACAGAAAGGTCGGGGGAGAATGAGCACTGAGGAGCAGCTGGAGTTCAAATCCAACCTCAGACCAGATGCTTGACGCTTACTAGCTGTGTGACCCTGGGCAAATCACTTAGCCCCATTTACCCCCCCCCCAAAAAAAAAAAGAATGAGTGCTGAGAAACGTCTGTTGGATTTGGTAACTCGGAAATCATTGGTTACTTTGGAGAGAGCATTGTGGTAGAATGATGAGGTCAGAAACCAGATCTTAAGGAGCTGAGAGGAAGGGGGGGGGCCTGATTGTAGACGAGACGACAGCAAAGATGGAGGGAGCGAGTGAGGGTTTCCAGGACTGGGGAGATGGGGCCATGTTTATGGGCAGCAGGGTTGTGGTTTGCCCTTCCTTCTCGAAGAGGACCAGGACATTGGGAAGGTGACGCCATGACTCACAAGTGAATTGGATTAAATGAGGGAGGCCTGGGCAAAGGCTCTCATGTTTATATTTTCACAGTTCCCTAGTGTTCCCTACTGCAACGGAAATGCAGCATGGAGTCCAAACTGAAGAAACAGACGCTAGGTCGTCACAGACCCCTGTTGGCAGATAACAAATCCACATGGTCAAAGAGCTTCCCAGGAGAGGGTGGTTTGGGCTGACCACCCACACAGGAAGGAAAGACGGGAAGAAGAGGGTCCGCTGAAGGGTGGATGTGGTAGATGGAGCTGCCTGCAGGATGTATCTGGGAAAGACGATACAAACTGAGCTCAATCAGGCCCAGAATTCACCTGAGAGGGCCAGGTCTTGCCGACTTTGATGGGGCTGCAAAGCGCCCTTAATGACCCCAGACTTCTTTAAGAACAAAGCCCCATCTTTTTAATGCTAATACCAACGTACGATGCCTTCATGCAACACAGTAGAACACAAGTCAGGCTGCACCAATGTTCTAGTGTATTCAGTCACCCCAGAAGGGATGGGTACCTGCTTTGTTTCTGGACCTTTGTTATCACAAAAGGCTCAGCTATAACTATTTTGAATATGAATGATGGGGGCCTTTCTGTCTGTCTTTCTTTGACCCCTTTGGAGCACATGCCCAGCAGCAGGATCTCTGGGTCAAAGGACACGGACAATCTGGTGTTACGGTCACCCTTTTAAAACAAGCATTTTTTAAGATTTCCTTGTATCCATTTGTTTGGTTTTGGCTGTTGCCCCTCATTGAGAAGGCCACCACCTGGCGCAGGCGCACATGCGGAGCTGTACAATGTATACCCTCAAAGATCCGCTCGTTCTCTGGAGAGCATCTTCCTTTACAGGTCCTTTGTAGTTGATTTGGGTATTTGTAATACTCAGAACAGCTCAGTCACTCAAGTGACTCTCTGAACAACCCTATTGCTACTGTAGACAACGTTCTCCTGGTTCTGCTCCTTTCACTCTGCTTTATTTCATGAATGTCTTTCCATGTCTTTCTAAAACCACCCTGCTTATCGTTTCTTACAGCACAATGGTATCCGTGTGTGGGAGACTGTATCGTCTGCTTCTGGGCAGCTAGGTGACGCTGCAGTGGATAGAATGGCAGGCCTAGAGTAGGGAAGACATCTTCCCGAGCTCAAATCCGTCCTCGGACACTCACTAGCTGTGTGACCCCAAACAAGTCACTTAACCCTGTTTGCCTCAGTTTCTTCATCTCTATATTGAGCTGGAGAAGGAAGCAGCAAACTTTGCCAAGAAAACCCCAAGTGGACAGCCATATACTTCTAAAGTGGCCACACAGAGTGACCACAGTGACCTTGCTTCATGGTATTGAGGAACCCCAGTGATAAATAGAGCGGATCGTATTTTTAGGACTTGGGTTTTTACGTCAACAGGCACGTATTAAGCACTGACTGAGTGCCGCACACTGTTCACTAGGGGCTAGGAAGAGCAACAGCGACTGGTCCTGTGGTTTCATTGGCACAGGGAAATCTCAGGTGAGGAAACTCTCTCTACCAATAAAGGTTGGCACCCCCTCTAGAACCTATAGATTTAGAGTCATTTGGAGCACTGAGGAGGGTCCAAAGGTAGGACTTTTAACTCAGGCCTTCCTGACTCGGAGCTGGGAGGTCAGCTATGTCCACTCCATGATGCCATCCCTTTATGTCTACATACAATAGAACAAAAGGTGACTTTGGGCAGAGGCATGAACACCTGGATGTTGAGAGAGGCGTCACGGCTGAGGCAGCATTGGAGCAGAGCGTGGAAGGAAGCTAGGGATTCCAGGCATGAGGAACAGCCTGCACAGACATGGGAGAGGGGGTCGCGTGGGAAGAACAGGGAGATGGCGACAGCAGCTGGGCTAGAGTGCGTGAACAGGAGGGACGCACGATAAGCCTGATCACGGACGTTCGATGTCCCACAGCCATCTGTGCTGGGTCCCAAGTGCTGTCAGGAGCCACTGGAGATCATGGAAGGGGAAAGGAAGGGGGTGCCTGCATTGATATAAACGCTAGAGGCCCTGTGCCGAGCACTTCGCAAATGTTGTCCCATTTAATGATAACACGTATAGGGTGTTTGCTACGTGCCAGGCGCGGAGCTGAGCACTCACTTCACAATTATTTCATTTAATAATATTAATAATAATAACTAACACATATAGAGTGCTTGCCACGTGCCAGGCATTGTGCTAAGTGCTTCACAATTATCTCATATGATTTTCCCAACCCTGGGAGGTAGGCACTATCATTATCCCCATTTTACATACCAGGAAATGGAGGCAAACAAAGGCTAAGTGACTTGCCCAGGGCCATACAGCTAGGAAACATCTGGAGCCAGATTTGAACTCAGTCTTGCTGACTCCAGGCCCAGCACCGTCTCCACTGCACCAACAGCTGCCTGCCGAGCTGTCAGCTCATATGGTCAGAACTGCGTTTTAGAAGTATCGCTTTGCATCTTTGTGGAGGATGAGCCTTGAGGAGAAAGCAAGAGGAGGTCATGGCAGCGGTCCAGGCGGACAGTGCCCAGGACCCAAGCCAGAGTGGAGGCTGTGAGTGGAACAGCTGCTAGGGACGGGGCACCAAAGGTTTGAGGATTCCTTCGTGATTGCCAGAATGCCAGGGCCCTGGACACAAACGAGGAAGCTGGTTGGAGGGGGGAACTGGGGGGAAAGATAAGTATTTTTATTTCTTAAAATCTCTCCACTGTCTTTGCTCGTATTGCTTCTGGCTTCTCCGAAGATTTTCTCTTCAAAGCAGCTGTGTGTTAAACCATCACAAAAGAATATTTCATTTTTGAAAGTTAGACAATAACATATTTAAAACAATTAAACCTAAATTTAATTGTTGAACATTTCAACTGATTATCTACAACCAACAATTATTAGAATTGCAGAAGGGTCTTTTTGGAAACTAGATTATATTGCACTCAGTAAAATGTATGACTAACGCATCTCACAGCATCTTGCTCTTCTACCCCAACGCTGTTGAGCTTCAAGCTTACACGCTCCACATTGCAATGTGGGGAGCAGCTTGGCGACCCAGCTTCTCTGGCTCACGCACCTGTGCTCACCGACCACGACAATCACCCAACAGTGTCCAGTCTGACCTCATTTGCACAAGTCCTGTCAATCAGTGCTTCATTCAGGGTGAGTCAGAGCAGAATTCTCTAAGGTTGTCTTGTATTTGAGGTTGTCACACTTGAAAACCTCCATCGATCTTGGCCGCTGGAGCACACAAATCGTCTCTTACTGCTCCCACCCTTCACGACCCCATTGGGATTTCCTTGGCAGAGATACTGGAGTGTCGGTACACTTCATTTGACAGATGAGGAAACTGAGGCAAACAGGATTGGGTCACACAGCTAGCATGAGGCCAGACTTGAACTCGGAACGATGAGTCCCCTTGACTCCAGGCCCTGTGCTCTGTCCACTCTGCCACTGACTCCCCCTCCCCCACAGGTTTTCCCAAACCCCAACTTAAATGGACTTCTTGCTCCAGGCTGGCCCCTTGGACACAATGGAATCACACTGCCCTCTGCCGGCGAGGCTTAGGAAAACCCGACCCTAACGTCCCTTGCTCTCAGGCTCCGGACCAAGATCATCTGTTAAGTGGGCAGGCTGGACTTGCCAGGGTCTAACGTCCCTCTGCCATCACCATCCATCACACACCTGCCAACGTCCATCTGCGGAGGAACCGCCCCCTCACAAGCCACCCACCCCATGTCGTCTCCACTCCTGACACAGGCAAGGCCCCGGCCCCCGCAGGAATGGCAGTGCAGGGGGTGAGCACGGAGCTGGGATGACCCTCAAGAGATCCTCAGGCCCTTGTCCAAGACCACAGGAAGGCAGAAGCAACCTAAGGCTTGCCTGCAGGTCTTCGTTCCTCCACCAGGTTGGCGGGGCTCCTCTTCCAGCGTGGACCCTCCCAGCCACCATCCTCATATGGCCCAGGTTCTATAGTTCTTCCCAGCCCCAGCACCTCCCTTCTGGGCTGGACATGGCATCCTGGGCCTGGGGTTCCCACTTTGGGCTCCTTTCTAATTCGGACAGAGTCCACTCTTGAGCTCAACTTGGCCCAGATAGCCTCCCTTCTAGGGTCAAAAAACGTGTTTCAAGTATTTCTGTCCACATTACAAAACACACCTAAGTTAAAAAGGAACAGGCTGAACTGTTTGCAAAACAATTTATTTTCTTTAACAGTAACGGCGCCAATCCCCTTTGGACTCACTACAGCAATGGCTACGCTGGTGAGCTGGCTGGGCAGCCGGCCGAGCTTCCTGCCTCTGTAGCGCTCGGTTTTCAAAGGTCCCACGACGGGCACTCCTCAACACCCCTTCTCCAAGTGTTCTCAGTCATTACTAAGGCTTTATCTCTTCCTACAGGGGTGGGTCAAATGTTTGTTTTGTTCAAATATCTGCCAGCTTGTCACAAGAGAAAACAAACCCGGCCCATCTGCGTAGAGACAACTGCAGTTAAGGCCTGCAAGTCCCACAGCCCTCAGAAGTGGCAGCAAACCAGCCTCTGGGCCTCCTCACCCTATGGGCACCAGATGCACCGTCACCCACTGCAGGGGAGGGCGGGCAGGCTTCCCCACCCTGGGGTGGGCTTTAGGGGATGATGGCACAGTGCCTCCACGACTGACCTTTCTTTCTGCCTCCCTACCCTGAGCTCCACAAGTCTGCAGAGGGGCAATAACGGCATGGGGAACAGCCATTCTCTGGCCCAGAGCCGGGGCCCCTCAGACCCCTGGGAGTCAAAGGCCCAGGGGGCACCGAGTGTCTTCACACAAGTCAGAGCCCAGTGCTGGCATCATTGGGGTACCAGTGCTCCCTAACCCAGACCCCCCAGCCCTGCTCAACTGAGATTTTGCCAAGAAGAGGCTTCTGGGATACAGAATGAAATGGAAGCTAGATTTTCAACTGACACCTGCCCCCCAAACAAGGCGTTTTTGCCCAACTGAGGCATGAAGTGAGGGACTGAGAGGGTTCAGAATCCAGTGACTCTACTGCCTTCTTGTTCCCTAACGGGGACTCCCTCCACATCCCCAGGCAGAGGGTAAGTGGGCACCCTGGGACCACCAGGTCCCTCCTGGCTCTGAGGGTTCCAGAACATGAGCAGAGCCAGCCCTGGACTGCACCAGGGCTCAGGACAGCTGCAATCCCAGAGAGCCGAGAGACAGAGACAGAGAGAGAGACAGAGAGACAGAGAGAGACAGAGAGACAGAGAAAGACAGAGAGGGAGAGAGACAGACAGACACAGAGAGAGTGTGTGTGTGTGTGTAGGGGGGGCAGGGGAGCCCCAAGACAGAAATCCAGAACCACCTGGAGCCCCACATCCCACAGACGGAAAGGAGCCGGAGGCCCTGAAGAAGAGCACGGCCCCAGAGGAGGCAGGGCTCCTGAAGGCCTCGATCAGCATAGATACACCAGGGAGGCCAGGACTTGGGGGGGGGGGAGCAAAAGGAGACAGGTTTGGGTTGCGGCCAAGGCGGGAATTGGTGGAGTCTGGCGTGACTGACTGTGTAGCTGTGGCAAGGGGTTGGTCTTTCTTTTTAATCCGGTAGAAGGGAGAGAAAAACAAATGAAAAGATGTAACTTAAAAAAAGAAAAGAGTGTGAGACATTGTCACAGAAGGACCCATGCACTGAAGACAGACCCAGGGAGGGGGCTGTGCCAGACACCCCCAGATCAGGAGCAGGAAGATGGGCTGGGGGAAGCGGGGTGAAGGTTCTTACCAGAGGGGGTGGGGGAGCGGCTCAGAGGGCTCGCTGGAACCTCTGTAACAGAAATGGGGGGCAGGGGGTGAGAGGCAGAACTGGAGCTGTGCAGATGGGGGCAGGCCTTCCTTCTGAGAGCCAGGACCCCTCAGCCCCCAGGAGTCAAAGCCTGGGGGGCACAGTGTTTATTGTCAGGGGACTCAGCCCAGTGCGAGCATCATGGGAGGCCGGCTTTCTGGTCTGGCACCCCTGCCCATGTGGGGCACCCTGGGACCGAGGGTCCCACACCCTCAGTGATGTCCCACTGCCCTTCTGGCCCCAACGACCCCCCTGCACCCCAGCCTTCCCCAGAGGTCGGGGTGGTTTAAAGGGCTTGGTCTGGACCATCCCAGTTACCTGGAGCTGGGACCCAGCACCCACTCTGTGGGTGGCTTGCCCCCTCCCCACATAATGAGCCTGTTTCTTTATGTTCTAATGAGGGAGGGAGGTGAGGCTCAGGTGGTCTAACCTGGGACTTGGGAAGGGGACTTCCATTGGGGAAGGGGCCCTTCACTGTCCTGGTGAGGCCCCCAAAGACTCAGAGGCAGAAGCAGGAAGGGGGCTTCGACCTCACCCAGTGGGCTCGTCACTTGTGTTCCTCAGGACCTTGGGCACGTGAGGGGGTGCCCCCTCCCCACCCTGCCCCTTATGCTGGCCTGCAGCCTCCACCTCCCATTTCAGACTTACCTGGGGCAGGTGGTGTGAGGGTATGCGCCGTCCACCATCACTTGGGCAGGGCAAAGATGGGAGAGGGCTGCTGGGGGCACCACTGGGACACAGAGCGTCAGGCCTGGAATCTGGAAGACCCGAACTCTAATCCAGCCTCAGACATTCCCTAGCTTCGTGACTTGAGACAATCACTTCTTCCCTGCCTGCCTCAGTCTCCTCATCTGTAAAATGGAGATGATAATAGCACCCACCTCCCAAGGCTGTTCTAAGGATCACGAGACAGTATTGGCAGAGTGCTTAGTGGAATGCCTGGCACGCAGTAGGCGTTCTATAAATGTTTGTTACTCGAAACAGCGCAGCCACCGACAATGACACGTGTGCAAGGTGATTCCCGTGTATGTCTCTACGTGTGTCTGTGTGACAGCTGGGACCAGAGAGGAAGGGAGGCGGGTCTGGGCAGAGCAGAGTGGTCAGTGACAGGAATAGACACCCCCCACCTGCATGCCCCAGCACACACAACCCCCCAACACACTCACGGTCATGCACATGCTCCCCACTTGTACATACTTACACATACATCATACATACATATACTCCCTGCTCACACATACAAACACCACCATACCTCACACACACACACACACACACACACACACACACACACACACACAGAGCTGGAGACACTCTCACCCACAAAGACCAGAAACAGGCACATGCAGGGAGGGTGAGGGTGAGAGCAAGTCCAGACCGTGATACTTGAAGATGGCTGAGGGCAGACTCGGGGCTGTAGACAGGGACCACTTGGGGTGGGGCCCCTCAGGCTGCCCAGGTGAGCTCAGCTCTCCCTTACACACCTTGGAATGGGGCAAGGGGGACCCTCGGCCAGGGCCACGTACTCTGTGTATCCCCACTCTGAGCTCAGGTCCGCTCCACAGGCCCTGGCAACCAAACCCCAGGGAGAGGACGATGGGTTCGGGGGCATCTCTGAAGGGCAGCTCAAGGAAAGTGTGACCAGCTGGGGGGGGGTGGTATCGGACTTCCAGACTCAGGACTGGGGGTACCCCCTCAACCCTGCTCTCCCCTCAGAAGCCTAGGCTTCAATTGGTCACAGGTCCTGCCCTGCCCTTGGAAAGTCTTCGCACCCAAGACCCTCAGGGGGCACTTGGTCTGTCCTTCAGAGGGAGTCAGCGCCCTGTGCTGGCATCATCGGGGTGCCCGGGCGGTTACCATGCCCCTGACACATCTGGGGCCCCGCACACCCGTTTCACAGGAGGGGTCCAAGTCAGACTTCCAGTGACAGACTCACCTCTGCCCCTTACAGACAGCATCCTCTCCAGACGGTCACCTCGCCCTCTGACCCTAAGACCAGGGTGTCTGCAGGGCAGAAAGGAGAGGACAAGAAGGTTGGGGCGGAGCAGAACTGAAGGGGAAGGATGGGGGGAGGCCAGAGCCGAGGCCCCTCAGACCCCTGGGAGTCAAGGCCAGGGGGCACCACGTCTGTCTTCATCAGAGTCAGCGCCCAGTGCTGGCATCATTGGGGTCTGGGCCTGCACCTCCCCAGGGGGGGAGGGGGGGTCTGGGAGACAGAACGGAGGCTCCATCAGCTTATACTTAAGTGAGACCCCCCACAGGGCCTCTTGTGGGGGGAGTCCATGGTCTGGAGCCGACCCCCGGGGCTGACCTCCAAAGGTTCCCACCCCCCACCCAGCTCGAGCAGGGCGCCCCCGCAGGGATCCCCAAGTCGGGGCTGCCCCCCCCAACAGCCCCACTCTCTGAAAGGTCTGAGGGTCCCGTTCCCCCTCCTGACCCACGGGGGTGGGGACTCTCACCAGAGGGGCGCCAGGTCTATGCCGGAGCACCACGGGAAGCCGATTCTGACCCCCACACGCAGGGCCCCCTCTGCGGGGGGGGCGGGGGCTGGGCAGAATCACAGACTGAGAGCTGCGAGGGAGCAGCAAGAGGGGGAAACCGAGGCCCGGCCCTGGCGCCCGGCAGGCGCTTACTAAATGTTTGCAGACCGCCGGATCCGCCCTCTCCCGACCCCCTCCTCAGGGGGGTCCGAAGCCTCGGGCCTTAAAGAAAGAGGCGAGTCTGGGGGCCCCCGGCACCCCTCCCCCCCACCTGCGCGCCCCTCCCCCCGCCACGTGCTTCCCCCCACTCACACGGCCTCCGTGGGAGCCGACCAGCCGCTCACGTGTCTTGGCTCCCCTCACCATGGCGGTGCGGCCCCCCTCCCCTCCGCGGGGCGCGCGTCGACTCACCGGCCGAGCACAAGCCCACGTGGGGAGGGGGGAGCAGCCCATGTCCGCGGAGCCGCCAGCCCAAGCGGCCGCCGCGCCTGCGTACTGAGAGAATGACTGCGGCGGGGCTTCCGGTCATGCGCAGGAGGCGGAGGAGGAGGGACCGTCGGGGGGCCGGGACAAGGGGGATTGACAGGAGGAAGGGCGGGGTCTCATTCCTCGGAGCCGCCCTAGGGGGCCCGAGACCCAGCAGAGATCCAGGCTCAGAGGCGGTGCGGAGACTGCTCAGAGACGGCCGGAGGCTCGGGCCAGAGATCCCTGGGTATCCTATGGAGACAGCCAAAGACCCTCTTCAGGGCTATCTCCCCAGCTCTCCCCTGATGGGGGGACTCTTCCTGCTCTGGAGGTTCTGGGGCGAGGGGCTCCTCTCCTCTCCCCAGGTTCTCAGGCCCCCTCCCCCTGCTGGACCTCCTCCTCCCTCTCTGACCGCTTCTCCTCTGTGTCCAGCCCATGCCCTCTAGCCGTGGATGTCCCTCAGGGCTCTGTCCGGGGCCCTCTTCTCCCTCCATCCCCCTTCCGTTGGCGACCTCATTGACTCCCGTGGATTTAAGGACCATTTCTACGCCGTGGATTCTCAAATCTGCTCTTCTTGCCCCACTCGTTCTCCTGACTTCTGATCTGATCTCTCCAACTGCCCTTCAGACATCTCTCTATGTCCAGTTGTTGTTCAGTCGTATTCAACTCTTGGGGACCCCATTTGAGGGTTTCTTAACAGAGATACTGGAGTGGGTGGCTCGCCATTCCCTTCTCCAACTCCTTTTACAGATGAGGAAACTGAGGCAGACAGGACCACACAACTAGTAAGTGTCTGAGGTCAGATTTTAACTCAGGAGAGCCTTCCTAACTCCAGATGCTCTATCTACTGCCCCATCTGGCGTCTTAAATTCCATGTGTACAAAACAGAACTCTTCATCTTTCCCCCTAAGCCCTGCCCATCCATTACAATAGAGGGCTCCGCCCTCCCAGGCCCTCAGTCTCCCAACGGAGGAGTCATCCTGGACTCCTCACTACCCTCATACCCCTCCTCCCATCCAATATGGTGCCAAGGACTGTAGATTTCATCTGTGTGACATCCCTCTGACATGCCCCCTTCTCTCCTGCGATGCTGCCACGGCTCTGGTGCAGACTCTCAGCACTTCACATCTCTAGAGGGGAGGGGGTCTGCTTGCCTCAAAGGATTCTCCTACAGCCCAGCCCAACTGCATCGCTGTACCCCAACTCCTACTGAGTAGCCTGCAGTGACTCCCTGTCACTTTCAGGATCAGATACAAAATGCCCTTCAGACTGACTGCTCCTCCCTTCCCAGTCTTCTTATGCCTTACTCCTCACCACGTACACTTCAATTCAGTGACAGCGGCCTCTTGGCTATTCCACAAACAAGACCCTCCGTCTCTGGGCTCCACGCCTGGAGAGCTCTCTCCTCATCTCCACCTCCCAGCCTCCCTGCTTGCATTGAGGCCCAGCTAAAACCCCATCTTCTACAGAATCCTCTGCTGTTCCTTTCTCTGTTATCTCTGATTTATCCCATCTAAAGTTTGTCCATACAACATTGTTTGCATGCTGTCTCCCCATTAGACTGGGAGCTCCTTGAGGGCAGGAACTATCTTTTGCCTTTCTTTGTACCGGCAGTGCTTAAAATAGCATCTGATACATAGTAGGTGCTTAATAAATGCTTATTGACTGACTGACTGGAGAGCTGCCTGGACACAGCCAGAGACCACACAGAAACCCTTATATGTGAACCCTTAAATATGGACACACACAGTTCTGCAGGCTGACGCTGCCACACTCAGCACTAATTGGAACAATGAGGGGAGTCGGCCCTGGCATCCATCTCCCATCCCCAGTCTGCTGGCCAGGACAGAGTTCACTTGGGCTGACCTGCTGCACTGTCCTGATATGGACATGCTACAGGAAAAAAAATGAACTCTACCAATGAATACTGTTGTAGTACAGGGCAAAATGTGGGTGCCTGGAGAAGTTCATCAGTATTGCATGCCAGTTCCATGATGGCATGCCTGCTGGGTTCTGGTTAATGGATGATGTCACCAATGGAATAAAGCAGGGCTGTGTGCTTGCTCCCATGCTTCTTAACATGATATTTCCAGTCATGTAATCAGACACCTTTCATGAGGATGATCGTAGCATCAAGGTCAGCTACCACACTGATACTAAATTACTTGACTTGAAAAGGCTACAAGCTAAGACTAAAGTGGAAGGAGAGTTGATGTGTGACTTTTTGTTTGCAGATGATTGTGCATTCAATGCAACCTCTGAAGCTGAGATGCAACAAAATATGGATCAGTTCTTTGCTGCTGGTGCGAATTTTGCCTAACAATTAACACCAAGAAAACAGAGGTTCTCCACTAGCCAGCAACACACCATGGAACCATTGGTTACAGCAAATGGAGAAGTTTTGAATGCTATGGATAAGTTCACTTACCTTGGTAGTATACTTTCCAGGGATGTGCACATTGATAGAAGATGAAGTACACATTGTCAGAGCTAGCTCAGTGTTTGGGAGTCTCCAAATGAAAGAGTGGGAGAGAAGAGGTATCAGATTGAGTACCAAACTGAAGGTCTACAGAGCCATTGTGCTGACTTCATTGTTGTATGCCTGTGAAACCTGGACTTTGATTTGAATTGTCTTAGGAGGATTCTGAAGATCACCTGGCAGGACAAGATGCCAGACACTGAGATCCTTTCTCGAAATAAACTGCCAAGCACTCAAATTCTACAGCAGAGAGTGCAACTCTCATGGGCTGATCGTGTTATTTGAATGTCAGGCGTACATTTGCCTAAAAGAATATTTTATGGAGAGGAAGATCTGAGTGGAACCTCAGATTCATTGAAGGAGTCTGGTCCCTTTAATAAATGGTTATTGACTCAGAGCTCTGCCTGAGTGGTTTTTCTTGGAGATTGGACAATTTTGGACTCCACAAAACAATGCTAAAAAAGCCAAAAACAAACAAAAAAAAACACCTCAGAATGAATGCTGAAGCAGCAAAGCTAACAAAAGGATAGGGTAAAATAATTTTCCAGATCAAGATAATTTAGAAGGTTGGCAGAAAAGGTTTGTCATACCAGGGCGAGAATGGAGCACAGTGGGAGCACAGTCCAACTTTAGCATGAAGTTAAAAGTCGAAAAATAGGCTGGAGCCTCTGAAAGCCCAGAAAATATCACCCCAGGAAAAACCCTGGAATAGCTGATCCAGAAGATGGAGCGCCGCAGTCGAGTAGACCAGGTAGCTTGAGGAATTAATGGGAAAGGCCCCTTTTGCCCTGGGGGAAGTGAAGCAGTACAGAACAGGAGATATCCCAGTAAGATAGCAGAAAGCCCCCCCCTCAGCATACCAGGGGGAGATCCTGAAACCCAGGTGGTGGAGCAGGCAAACACCAACACCTGGACCCCTAGTGCCTCATTGAGGGCAGGGGAACCAGTGGAACCCAGCTTGGAAAACCACCAGGTGCCTTGGCATTCTACAGCAACTGGCTCTCCCTGTACTTCATCAAAACCAAGGGAAGCAGTGCTGCAAGAGGCCCCAGGCAGATAAACATCTTGCAATATCCATCTGCAAGGAGCTGAAGAAAGTGGAAGGAAGGAAAGGCTCAGGTGAGCAGAAAATCTCCAGGAGCCACACTACCCAATCCTACCCCTAGAGTTCCAGTGTTGCTGATTCCAGCCCAACACCAGGGAAGCTTCCGAACCCTACAGCCTCCAACTGCCAACGTCAGAGGCCCCAGCATACAAAGCCAGTGACAAGGCCCTAGGCTCCCAACACAAGAAGCTTGGGTCAGTGCCCTCTGCTCCCCAGCAAGAGAGCTCAGTTTCTTTAAAGGCCAGGAAATAAGCAAACACCATGAGCAAGAAGAAAGGTACTGTAGATTCATATTATGAGAAGAGTGAAGATCAAGGCAGAAATTCTGAAGAGGACAACGTTGTCAACAAACCTACATCTGGAACCTCAAAAGGGAATATGAACTGGTCTGAAGCCCAAAAAGCCTTCTTAGAAGAGCTCAAGAAGGATTTTAAAAGTCAAATGAGAGAAGTAGAAGAAAAAATGGGAAAAGAAATGAGAGGTATGCAAGACAGAGTCAATAGCTTGGAAAAGGAAGGACAAAAATTAAGTGTAGAAAACAAGCCCTTAAAAAGTACAATTGGCCAACTGGAAAAAAAGTACACTGAAGAAAACAAGTCCCTAAAATATACAATTGGCCAAATGGGGAAGGAAGTACAAAATCTAATAGAAGAAAACAATTTGTTAAAAATTAGAATTGGGCAAATGGAAGCTAATGACTCTATGAGAGAGCAAGACTCAGTCAAACAAAAGCAAAAGAATGAAAAAAAAAGAAAGAAAGAAATAGGCTGAGAAAATGAGCAAAAAAATAAAAAGAACCTCACCATAGAAAGTTACTGTGGTGACAGGGAAGATCAAAACATAAACGCAGAAGAAGACAGCAGAGTCAAAACAGCTACATCCAAAGCCTCAAAGAAAGATGTGAATTGGTCTCAGGCCCCAAAAAAGAATTTCTACAAGAGTTCGAAAATATTTTAAAAATCAAACAAGAGAGGTAGAGGAAAAATTGGAAGAAGAAATGAGAATGCTATAAGAAAATGATGAAAAAAGAGTCAATAGCTTGGTAAAGGAGGCACCAAAAAATTCTGAAGAAAATAATACCTTAAAAAATAAAATAGACCAAATGGTAAAAGAGGCACAAAAATCCACCAAAGAGAAGAATTCCTTAAAAATCAGAATTAGCCAAATGGAAAAAAAGATGCACAAAAATTCACTAACAAGAATGCCTTAAAAAGCAGAATTGGCTAAAGGAGAAAATGAGGTATAAGAATTGACCAAAGAAAACAATTACTTAAAAATTAGAATTGTGCAAGTAAGAGCTAATGACCCCATGACACATCTGTTGTTCAGTTGTTTCAGTCATGTCCAACTCTGTGTGACTTCATTGTGGTTTTCTTGGTAAAGATACTAGAGTTTCCTTCTTCAGCTTATTTTACAGATAAGGAAACTGAGACAAACAGAGTCAAGTGATTTGCCCAAG